GGGAAGGTAGGGAGAGTGGCCCCTGTCCGGGAGCCACACCACTCTCTCTGTCCTGAAATCTGCCTAGACCTCAGCAGAGTGGAGCTATCAGGAATCAGGAGGGTGGGGCTGCCAGGACCCTAACAACTGGGGTTAGTGGAACTCCCATGAAGGGGAGGTGCCAGTCAGGTTCATGGGAAAGTGAGGGGAAAGGCTCATCCTCCAAAGCCACACAACTCAGTCACTGACTTCTCCTACATCTGCCTAGATCTCTACACTTCAGCCCAGGCAGCTGACTCTTCAGCAGGGTACAAGCTTCACAGGGTGAGGTGGCAGGGAGTCCAGAGAGTGCAGCTATTGCATTTCCTTGGGCTGATGCCACATGGAGGGAGTGTTTCACCTAAGAAAGATAAAATCAGTGGTGTGGGAGAAGAACTAAGCTGAAGGATCCTGGTGGCTGTCCCTTTAGCTCTCTCTCCAGAGCCACAATCTCCAGTCTCTCCTCACACAACTCTAGTCTGTTCTTCCCTCTATCCAGAACCCAGTATGAGAAGCTGCTAATGATATTTTGTGCATTGGCCTTTTAAGAGAGTGCCTGTGCCTCTAGTAGACTACCACCTCTCCCTGGTGGACAGAATTCCTGCTGATTTTCATAGCCAGATGCTATATGGGCTCTTCTTCCCAGCTCTGTTCTGGGCTGAGAACTTTGACTTGAGGTTGAGACCCCACGTTTCTCAGTGGGAACCCTTGTAATTGAGATATCTCTCCAGAATCTCAACTATTTCCCATGGGAGCAGGGCCAGCCCTTTTTGCACCTCTGCCTTCCTACCAGCCTCAATATGATTTCTTCTGTAAATCCTTGGTTATAAGACTTCTGTCCAGCTAGTCTTCAGCTGGTTATTCATGTTGATTTTTCTAATTTAGTTGTAATTTTTGTTTGCTCCAGGGACTCCTCCATCTACTCCCTGCCATCTTGGATCCACTTCTGACATCTTTCTTGTTGATCTCTTCATTCATAGCTCTTAAGATGTTTTATATTTATATATTTATTGTGGTGTTTTTTAAACATTCTCATGTCTTTTCCTGGAGTCTAAGTTCCATAAGAGAAAGAATAATGCCCCTTTCATTTATCAATTTAAACCCAAATCTTAGCACAAAACCTAGTATTACGTAACTGCTCAATGAAAATATATGCACATGATTAAATCATTTCACCGTAATAAAAATCGTGGAGTAACCTTGACTTATTTTTTTTACTTTGTTCCATTCCCAACACCCCGAGGGGTGGGAAATGTTTGATCCATGGTCTCAGGTCTGGTTCATATAAAGCCCACAAACTCAGTATCAGCTAACATCACACACCTCACCAAATTAGCCTGACCAAATATAGCAGGCTAATTTTTAAGTTGATAATTTTGTATGGCCTGCAAATATCCAAATGGCCCTTGGCAGCTCTATGTCTATTGATTAGACACTCTATGTTTATGTCTAATCAATACCAGATCTTGCAAATTTTACCTCGATTTGTTAACAATTTATTCCTTATTCTCCTTGTTATCATTGCCCTAGAAGTGCTTTTTACCTCTTGCTTGGATTATTGTGATAGTCTTCCAGTGGGATACCTTCTATTCTGCTTCATCACTTCACATGTATCCTCTACATTGCCACCAGCATGAGCTAAAATGTGGATCTGAATCTACCACTCCTCTTTGAGAAACCCCTTAACAGATCCTATCTGCCTAGAAGCATAAAATACAAATTCTTTGCCTTAGCTCACAAGGCCCCCAGACAACCTAGTCCCTACCTACTTCATGACTCTCATTTTTTACCACTTGGCCTCGCTTTCTAAGCTTCCAAACCAGCAAATGGCTTCTAATCCCCACCCCATGTTATATATGCTGATTCACATCTCTTTTATTTGTACTTGTTACTTTTATTTAAAAAGAAATGCTCAACATCACTAATCATCAGAGAGATGCAAATTAAAACAACAATGAGGTATCACCTCACACCTGTCAGAATGACCGCCATCAACAAATCATCAAACAACAAGTATTGGCGAGGGTGTGGAGAAAAGGGGACTCTAGTACACTGCTGGTGGGAATGCACACTGGTGCAGCCACTATGGAAAACACTGTGGTGTTACCTCAAAATATTAAAAATTGAACTTCCATTTGACCCAGTGATCCCACTTCTAGGAATATACCTTAAGAAGCTTGAAACACCAACCAGAAAGATTATATGTACCTTCATTTTTATAGCAGCACTATTTATAATAGCTGAAATCTGGAAACAGTCCAAGTGTCCATCAGTAGATGAATGGATAAAAAGCAGTGGTACATATACACAATGGAGTACTATGCAGCTGTAAGAAAGAAAGCTCTCTTATCCTTTGAGATGACATGGAGGGACCTGGAAAGTATCATCCTAAGTGAAACAAGCCAAACAGAGAAATACAAGTACCATATGATCTCACTTATTTGTGGAATATAATGAACATAACAGTCTGAGGAATGGGGTAGTCCCAGAGACGTGGAAGTGGGGTAGAGACTGACAATCCCCAGAAGAGGAGGCGGTGGGGGAGAGATAAACCACAGAACCTATATGCATGTATGCATGAACAATGGACATGGACAACAAAGCTAGAGACAGGGCAGGGAGGGAAGGGAAAGGGGGAATCAGTGGGGAGAAAAGGAGAGATATCTGTAACAAAAATAAATTAATTAATTAAAAAAAACAAAAAACTATCCACCCCATAATCAGTCATACTATCTCTGCTCTTTATCATATTACCTTGGCTAAGTCATACTCAGTTACATTTGATCAAATATCATCTCTTCCAGGGAGCCATTTCTGACTCTCCAATTAGGGTTACATACAACTGTTTGAAATTTTATAATGTGTATCGGCATTATTTTACTTTACATAATACTCTCTAGGTCCTTCAATGCTGTCACAAATGGTAAGATTTCATTCTTTTTTATGGCTGAGTAATATTCCATTGTATATATGTAGCACAACTTTTTATTCACTTGTCTGTTGATGAGTACTTGGGTTGCTTCTATAGCTTGGTTATTGTAAATAACACTGCATTGAACATAGAAGTGCATATGTTCTTCTGAATTACTGTTTTGGGTTTCTTAGGATAAATTCCCAGAAGTGGAATCACTGGATCATAAGGCAGATTCATTTTTTTATTTTTTGAGGAAACTACATACTGTTTTCCATAGTGACTGCACCAATGTGCATTCCCACCAACAGTGCACAATGCTTCCCTTTTCTCCATATCATTACCAATACTGGTCATTTGTGAATTTATTGATGATAGTCATTCTGACAGGTGTGAGGGCTCCTTAAAACTTTTGTTTATTACTAATAATTCAAACTAATTTGTTTAATCTTTAAACAATGAACAATGTTGACTATGTAGTAATGATCAAGTTTTAGTTGTTTTAGGCATTTTTACATTTTGTTTAAATGAGTTATGGTTATTTAAAATATGTAATTATGATTATAGATTATCCTGTATTAATCTGTTTAGATGCATATACGTACATATGTATATATGTGTGTGTGTGTATGTACATATGTAGGTGTGTGTATAAATAAATACACACACAGAAACATAGTCGTCTCTCGCCACTTTGCACTCCGACTTTTGCCGGTTCACTCTATCGTGTTTTTTTTTCAAATATAATAGAAGTGTGAAGTAGCGAGGGATGACTGTATATAAATGAATCCTACTCCATGGAAATTTATTTATTGCGGTAGAGTCTGTAGCTGATTAACTGTGGTAAACGAGGGCTGACTGTAATTTATAGATAGGTGTACACACAGATTAGTATACACATATATTTCTTAGCTCTGTACACTGAGAGTGTCTATAAACTATGTCATCCCAATAGCAGTGGGTCCATTCAATACTTAGATACTGGTTTTCAAATACGATTATTCAGTAATGGCCATGTGGTACAGTTGATTAGAATATCCAAAAGATTGTGTGCCAAAAGATTTCAGGTTTGATTCCTGGACAGGGCACATACCCAGGTTGTGGGTTTGATCCCCTGCTGTGTGCATGCCGGAGGCAACCAATCAATGTTTCTCTCTTACATTGATGTTTCTCTCTGCCTTCCTCAAAATCAATGAAAACATATTCTTGGGTGTGGATTACAAAGAAAGGGAAGAAAACAGCATTTCCTTAGAAAAATTGCTGATTCTAGTATCAAGGCAGGGAAGATACAATTTATGTTACTGTGGAAAAATATAAATGACTCAAACAGAAATAAAATTCCCATAATGCAATTATCTTACTTCCTTTGTGTTTATTCTTTCTTTTTAAATGTATTATTTATAATGCGTGACTTGTATATGTACATTTTTATACAGAACTATTATAATATTTTACCTACCATTTTATTCTTCTAAATAATTATATAGTTTTAAGTATTATGAATGTAGAACTTGTTAGATTGTTACTTATAAACATTGCTGAATGAAGAAATTTATTAATAAATTTTGATGCACTTCCTTAATTACTATAGAAATCTTTTTTTAAGAAATGTTGTTCAACTATTTAAGAGTCCAATCCCTTTGTCTTTAACCCACATTCAATTTGTTAAACATTTACTGGAGGAGGTATCTTGCTTTGGCATTTGGTAAAGGTTTTGATTAAAATTTTTATTAGTAATTAAATAATTACCAGTTCATATGGGGGAGGTGGAAAGCCATCTCTTTTAAACCCAAATATCAACATTCCTGTTAGAGTTTAAAGGATCTTAGATATCATAAAGACTAATTTCTTAGTTTCATAGATTAGGAAATTGAGGCCATGAATGGATAATTGCTATCTGTATGAATTATTTTTAACACAATAATGAAAAATAAGTCTGCTTATTTAAAAAAAAATAAAAATTATTAAATAGCTTAAAAGTTGCTAGCTACTTTCAAAAGGGGAGTTCATTCTTTTCTAAATCCTAAATTCTTTATTGTCTATGTTTATAATCTTAAATTATCAACCTTACCCAGGAGGAAGAGTCATAATCAAATTAAAGGAAATGTTGAAAACTCGAAGGAACTTAAGTTGTTGAATTTCAGAAGGGATTTCATTGATAGGATTATTTCTCAGGATCAGTATTTCTAAATATTTAAGACAAAATATCTGAGGAACAGAAAAGAGAAACAAACATGACTAGAATAATATAGTATGCAAATTCCTGTTTGTTACATTCTATAATCCTATATAAATCTGTATAGTAACATTGCTTGTCTGTATTACATATATCAAATAACTTTGGAAAACCTTCAAAATAACTGACCAGCAAAATATGCATGATATGTAAAATAGTGATATACACATATCCCTTGTTGCAGCAATGGTTCTTTTCTAAATGGGAAAGTAATCCTGTTTAATCAATCCATGGTTTTAAAGAGGAAATTATGCAAAGAAGAAGAGAAAAAAAAGCTACCTGCAGAACCAGAAATATAAATGGAATTAACCTTAGTAATCAATGAGGTGTCAGATATCATAACCAGATTGTTTCATTCTCATATCATAGTAATTTCATATGTACTGATTTTTCATATGAAATTTAAAAATAGAATAAACTATTTAAATATATGATCTTTGCTTGACTAATATATTTCTTGCTCTCTGGTGAATCATAATAAGGTCTTTTTATCTTCTCTCTCTTTAATGCCTTTTCCTTTTTTTATTCTTAAAGTATTACAGATGTTCCCTTTCCTCCTGCATTGACCCCCTCCTTTCCATTCCCACCCGTCCTGCTGTCCTGCTTTCCCCAACCTAATGTACATGTCCATTGACTGTGTATACATGCACGTAAGTTCCTTGATTTATCTCTTCCCACCACTCCTACACCCCATCCATCTGTTCCCTACTTGCACAATTCTGGATTTCTTCTGGTCAACATCTTATTTTGTTCATTATATTCCACAAATAAGTGAGATCTTGTCTTTCTTTGACTGGATTACTTTACTTAGCACAATACTCTCCAGGTCCCTCTATGTTGTCTAAAAGGGTAAGAAATCTCTCTTTCTTACATCTGCATAGTATTCCCTTGTGTAAATGTACCACTACATTTTTATCCACTCATCTACTGATGGACACTTGGGCTGTTTCCAGATCTTAGCTATTGTAAATAGGGCTGCTATGAGCATAGGGGTGCATATATTATTCCTGATTGATGTTTCAGTCTTCTTAGGATATATCCCAAGAAGTGGGATCACTGGACCAAATGGCAGTACCATTTTTAATTTTTTGAGGAAACGCTATATTGTTTTCCATAGTGCCTGCCAGTCTGCATTCTGCCAGCAGTGTACTACAGTACTCTTTTTTTCCACATCCTCACCAGCACTTGTTGTTTGAGGATTTATTGATGACCACCATTCTAGCAGATATGAGGTGATATCTTCTAGTTCTTTTAATTTGCATCTCTCATGATAAGAGATATTGAGCATTGTTTCATATGTCTCTGGGCCATTTCTATGTCCAGTTTGGAGAAGTGTTTATTCAGGCCCTCTGCCTATTTATAATTGGATTGTTTAATCTTCCTTTTTTTGAGTTGTTTGAGTGCTCTATATATTTTGGATATTAACCCCTGATCTGATGTATCATTGGCAAATGTGTTCCCCCAGAGAGTAGGTTCCCTCTTCAATTTGATGCTGCTTTCTTTTGCCATGCAGAAGCTTGTTAGCTTGATGTAGTTCATGTATTAATTTTTTTTTCTTTGCTTCTCTTGCCCTAGGCGATGTATCGGTGAAAATTCCACTATTTAGGATGTGTGAGATTTTTCTGCCTGCACTTTCTTCTAGGATTTAAAAAAAACATTTTTTTTTTTTTTTTTTTTATCCTCACTTGAGGACATTTTTGCTTTCATCTTGAAATAGAGAGGAAGGGAGACAGAGAGAAACATCCATATGAGAGAGACATACCGAGTGATTGATTCCCACACAACCCCAACTGGGGCCGAGGACAAAAAAAAAAAAGTCCTCTGGTGAGGATGAAAAAAAATATATTACTACTGAAGTATTTCCTTTTTTTTTAGAACCATTCAAATTTTCTATTTTTTCAAGAGTTCATTCTTGTGTCTTTCTTAAGTGTGTGTTCATTTTATCAAAGTGATCCATTTGGTTGGTTTACAGTTATCTGTAGTATTCTCTTTAATTTTTTTTTATTTCTATGAATTTGGTAGTAATGTCCCCTTGATCAGTCCATTTAAGATTAGTCAATTTTGTTGATGTTTTCAAGTATCAACTCTTGGTTGTGTTGATTTTTTTCTCTATTGTTTTTCTATTCTTAATTTCACTAATTTTTGTACTAATTTTAGTATTCACTTTTTATTTTTTTAAGGTTTAGTTTGCTCTTTTTTTATGCTGGTTTAAGAGGGAAGATTAGGTTATTGATTTTTCTTTTTAAATAGAGGTATTTATAGATAAGAGGTTAATTTCCAATATATAGAGAGTGCTCATACAACTAACAAAAGGAAGACAAAGAACCCAATTAAAAAATGGGCAGAGGAACTAAATAGACACCTCTCCAAACAGGACATACAAATGGCTAAGAAACATATGAAGAAATGCTCAATGTCACTAATCATCAGAGAGATGCAAATTAAAACAACAATGAGGTATCACCTCATACCTGTCAGAATGGCCGCCATCAACAAATCATCAAACAAGTGTTGGCGAGGGTGTGGAGAAAAGGGGACTCTAGTGCACTGCTGGGGGGAATGAAGAAGGTGCAGCCACTATGGAAAATACTATGGTGTTATCTCCAAAAATTAAAAATTGAAGTTCCATTTGACCCAGTGATCCCACTTCTAGGAATATACCCTAAGAAGCCTGAAACACCAATCAGAAAGAATATATGTACCCCATGTTCATAGCAGCACTATTTACAATAGTTAAGATCTGGAAACAGCCCAAATGTCCATCAGTAGATGAATGGATAAAAAGCAGTGGTACATATACACAATGGAGTACTATGCAGCTGTAAGAAAGAAAGCTCTCTTATCCTTTGAGATGACATGGAGGGACCAGGAAAGTATTATCCTAAGTGAAACAAGCCAAACAGAGAAAGACAAGTATCATATGATCTCACTTATTTGTAGAATATAATGAACATAACATTCTGAGGAATGGGGTAGTCCCAGAGACATGGAAGTGGGGTAGAGACTGACAATCCCCAGAAGAGGGAGTGGTGGGGGAGAGATAAACCACAGAACTTATACGCATGTATGCATGAACAATGGACATGGACAACAAAGCTGGGACAGGGCAGTGAGGGAGGAAGAGGGGGGAATCAGTGAGGAAAAAGGAGAGATATCTGTAACAAAAATAAATAAAATAATTTTAAATAAATATAGGTATTTATAGCTATATATTTCCCTCTGAGCACTGGTGTAAAGTCATCTTATAAATTTTGGCATGTTGTCTTTTCCTTTTCATTCATCTTAAAGTATTTTCTAATTTCTCTTTTGATGTTTTTTTTATTGAATTACTGGTTATTTAAGAATGTGTTACTTGATCTTCATATATTTTCAAATTTCTTTCAGTTATTGATTTTTAATTACATTCAACTGTGGCCAAAAATATACTTTCTGTGATTTTCAATTGTTTTAAGTGTGTTGAGACTTACTTTGCAGCCTAACATATGGTCTACCCTAGAAAATATTTTATGTAAATTTGTGAATTATGCATTCTGCTTCTGTTGGTTGAAGTGTCCAATAGATGTGTATTAGGTCCAAATGATTTTCTATTTCTTTGTTGATCTTCTGCTTATTTGTTCTATGTATTATTGAATGTGTGGTATTAAAGTTTATAACTATTAATGTTGAAATTCTATTTTTTCCCTTTAATACTTTTAGTTTTTATATTCTGAGGACATATATATGTATATGTGTAAGTATGTATGTATGTATGTATGTATGTATGTGTGTATATATGCATATATAATTATATTATCCTTATAGATTGACAAAATATCCCTCTGCATCTCTAGTAACTTTTTTTTTATGGGTAATATGTCTATTTATTCCAATTCTGCTTTACAATTGGTATTTCTTTCTGTTTTTTAAATTAATTTATTTATTTTTGTTACAGATATTTCTCCTTTTTCCCCCACTGATCCCCCCTCCTTATCCCTCCCCACCCTGTCCCCACCTTTGTTGTACATGTCCATTGTTCATACATACATGATATAAGTTTGGTGGTTTATCTCTACCCCCCACCCTTTCTTCTGCGGATTATCAGTCTGTACCCCACTTCCATGTCTCTGGGACTACCCCATTCCTCAGAATGTTATGTTCATTATATTTCACAAATAAGTGAGATCATATACTTGTCTTTCTCTGTTTGGCTTGTTTCACTTAGGATAATACTTTCCAGGCCCCTCCATGTCATCTCATAGGATAAGAGATCTTCCTTTCTTACAGCTGCATAGTACTCCATTGTGTATATGTACCACTGCTTTCTATCCATTCATCTAGTGATGGACATTTGGGCTGTTTCCAGATCTTAACTATTGTAAATAGTGCTGCTATGAACGTGGGGGTACATATATTCTTTCTGATTGGTGTTTCAGGCTTCTTAGGGTATATTCCTAGAAGTGAGATCACTGGGTCAAATGCAAGTCCAATTTTTAATTTTTTGAGGTAACACCATATGGTTTCCCATAGTGGCTGTACCAGTCTGCATTCCCACCAGCAGTGTACTAGAGTCCCTTTATCTCCACACCCTTGCCAACACTTGTTGTTTGATGATTTGTTGATGGTGGCCATTCTAACAAGTGTGAGGTGATACCTTATAGTTGTTTTAATTTGCATCTCTCTGATGATTAGTGATGTTGAGCATTTCTTCATATGTCTCTTAGCCATTTGTATGTCCTGTTTGGAGAGATGTCTATTTTGCTCCTCTGCCCATTTTTTAATTGGGTTCTTTGTCCTCCTTTTGTTGAGTTCTATGAGCACTCTATATATTAACTGCTTATCTGATATATCATTGGCAATTAGGCTGTCCCATACAGTGGGTTGCCTTTCCATTTTGATGATTGTATCTTTCGCTGTGCAGAAGTTTTTTGTTTGATGTACTCCCATGTGTTTATTTTCTTCTTTGTTTCTGTTGCCTTAGGTGATGTATCAGTGA